ATTATTTGGTTCGTAATCCTTCCTCTACACTTACTGATGTAAAAATCACCATTCCAAATATTTCAACAGTGTACTTCGTTCCGAAAACTTCAGAAACAGCAGCCGGAATACAGACAAAAGCTAGAGGAAAGGTAGTAAACAGCCCACAAATCCAGATCATGTACATCACTTTTCCTCCAGTCAACAGCAATACTGTCTTTATTCCCAGTAAGAGGAGAATCGTTAACTAAAGGTTTATACAAGTCAATGTGATTAAAGGTGCAAAAACGAATAAAAAATACAAGAAAACTGAAACAACAGGTAGATAAACATTGAAACATTTTATAATGTTTAATCGAAAAATAGGTTTTGGTATATATACACATTATTCTGTTCTGATTGTGTGTTAAGTTTATATTACTTTGTGTATAGATTTATGTTATTTAGAAAAACTACACTGATTACTTATGATGTCGACTGATTAGGTTTGTGACCTGAAATTCTTCCGATAATCCTTTTATCTGCGTTAAACTAACTTACTTTCAACGGTTTCTCAAAACAGTGTTTTTTTGTTTGTCTTTTCACTGTTTTGAGATTATGGAGATTTGCACTTTCGCTTTATGTGTAAATCCAACAATGGGATATGTTGTTACCAGGTTAGGGATTGAGACCTGAATTTTATCGTTATAAGCCCTCTAGTTTAATGCTGAGCCATAAAGATTGTATACCCTTTACACACCAAATATTATTTTAATAATTATAATAACAACACAAGTCACTTCATTTTACTCATTCTTACTTTGTAAGATATTTTGTCCTGAATTAAGCCTACAATCACACGGCTAAGTGCATGAACAGCTCCAGCTACAGAACCAATGGTGGACAGAAACATGTCGTCTTGTATAAACGTCTGTCCATATGTCTGAAAATCAGTATGAAAGTATTTTTTTAATTTCTATAGTGCACATTGATGTATGTAAGACATATTATACTTGTTAATAAGCAACTTTATAACCCCAAATTCTTGTTTTTATTTCATAAATTATAAGGTCGTTTATTTCTAGTATGGAGAATGCAATTTTCAAGTTTAAAAGAACTTAGTTTGTACTTAGTTACTTAGTTTGTAACTACAACTTCTTCTTATTTTGTATTACATTTGAACACTACGATCAATGGTCTCGTACATAAGGTTTTGGTTTCAAGCTGTATCTAAAGATGGTTTATGATGGCAATAACATTCAAATTTTTAATGTAAATCGTAGTTTCGGAAGTTAAAACGTTAGATGGCCATAATTTCAAAGGGTTCTTAGAAAAAATAAACTAATCACAAATGCATGTACCTACCTTATATAAAACATTCACAAACATAAATGGGTAAAAGGAGCAAATACAAACTATTGATAAAAGGTAAAATTCTTTCATTTTCACAGCTTCATTTGGTGACACATAAACTTCACCTTCACCATTAGTGTACGGTTGTTCACCATCAACGTTCACATTGGCTGAATCTTCTTGCCATGATGCACATAATTTTTCGCTATTTATTGTTCTTGTACAGTCCAAATCTTTCGTAATTGGTCCACTAAGTTCTTTACTACACGATTGTTCTGACGTTTCGTACACAGTAGTTAGTTCACTGGATGTTGTTTCTTCCTGTGTTAGAAATTTGAATATACTTGTTTCCTATGTTTTTTTGGAACAGATAATACAATATACTGGAAAATATATATCCTAAAATGTCAAGGTTTTCTACTGAGTAATAAACTATCACTACACTTATTATCAAAAACGGCCAAAATCTTGAATATGAAACAGCAGAATAAGTATTATTAAAAAACTTATTTGGGACACATTTTATGTTTACTACTATTTCAAAAAATTCCTACGCTCATGCGAAAATGTATTGATGATAGTAGGGAAGCGTTTCTATTATGAAACAAGCTATCTTTTGGTGTGATGAGGAATTAATTATATTCCAGGTTTCTCATGTTTATGTGTTTATCAGTCATCTAGTTTTGTGTTCATTACTTAATCGACATGTATCCGATCAGAAGTTAAAAGTATTTATATAGAACAGGCATTCATTAAGAAGATATATCTCCAGAGGTCCAATATGTGTGGTTGATACTGAATTATTTAAGTTTGGTTGAGATTCAGCACATGTCCATACACATCTTATTATCCAGTTGAAATAATCTCTGCTCGCTTTAATGAAAACTGAAACTAGTAAATAAGTTGGACTTATTCAGATGATACGAAGCGAATTTACTTTGTAGTCGAAAATACCAATAGTAAACTTTTTAATCAAATTGCACTAACCTGATTTGACTCTCGTGGTAGTTCTTGGTACATAAGCAGCCCAATCAGTAGAATTCCACCAGTAACACTTCCCATTATCAGAAACAAAACAGGAACACTTTCTATAATTTCATCGTTGTAAAAAAACCTGAAGAGATATTGAAAGTTTACTCGTTAATGAAAAAGTAAATTGGTTTATGAATTAATTTAATACTACATTGATGATGTTGAACAGCATTAGGCCTCCTAGTGTCACACCGTAAGTATACGGATTTATAACATTAGAAACAATATCGATACCAGTGGAGGGTAAGGCACAGATAACCCATTGTGTAGCTTTGTGGTTAACTACATACAAAAATAGTAATAGATATAACTCATTGGTAAATGATAATTTCAATATCTATGTAATATAATATTTGTGTCTTTAGAATACCTTTTTCCAGCTTGGTAACTAAGATATCATTCAGTCACTTTGAACAGCTAACATCTAATATTTCCAAATTACGTGGACTTAATAAAAGAACAATGTATGACATATAAACGTGTAAAGCTATTGTACAAACTTGAAAGGGTTTTCTTTAGGTTATTAAATACTTCCATGACAAAAAACTAAAACCTAAGGACTTTATCTATTCACGACCATGTCTTTAGGCTTTAAACTTTGCTTTCTAAGTATTTTATCGTAAGCAATGTAAAAATGTTATTTTGTATCTGCTCTATAATAATTAACACTGATTTCAAACAGTAATGTACAGAATCTCGAGTGTTACATACGATAATCAAATCTAGATTATTTTCATCCAAGGTATGCTAAACATTTGTAACCAACAGAAAGAACAAATAATACCTAAAAGAAAAAGAAGCAAGGGCTTGGATGATATGGAATAAAAAAGTAAAATAAGGTAAGAGAAAATTAAAATTAATTATTGTGTTTGTATTTCAAAAATCATTACGTAAGTTTAAAAAAAAACTTGTAACTTACCCATCAGAATCAGGTTGGAGATTATTAGGATTTACAATGAATGTCTGTACGCTATTCATAAAAAGAGGAGTTAAAGCTAATCCTGAGGCCACTATCCCTGTCACGAGTCCTTTCTTGGTGGGAAACCACTGTGAAAAGATTTGGTAATTTATTTCGTGACGTGTCTTTTGAAATACACAAACTAAATGTTATAGTATTCATTGGTTTGGAATTACATTATTTGAACTATATATGGTGTAGCCATTAGTTACAAAATACGGTATTTGTATCATCAATCACAACCAATATACCATAGATGAACACGGATTGTGTAATAGTTTAGAGTTAAAGAAAAATAAACCTGGTCTACACCCTAGTGATAACTGTATCTAGATTTCCAGCGGAATAATAACTAGACCATTCTCATAAAAGTTTTTACAAGTATAGTTGAATTCAAAAACTAAAAATTTTCCTCAGATTAGAAGACTAAAAAAAGTATATGTTAAATGGTTGTTTGTACTATAAACGTTGATATGTATATATAAATATATATACTTTCTACATTAAACCTGAAAGAGAACGTATCCACAAGGCGAGGGCAGTTTTTTGTAATTTTTATATGATATATATAATATTTATGTGATGTTTTTAGAGGTTGAAATGAAATAGTTAAATGATACTTTTTAAATGATTGGAAGGTGAAATTAAACGTTTAAGACAGGCTTTCTTTTATTTTACGTAAGTATATTTTTATAACAACTAGACTCACCTCCATAGCAGTGACCACGGGGTGACCAAAACAACAGATAAGTCCCAAAGAATTAACTACTCCATAAGTGATTATGGTAGCTACCAGACTGTGTTGTATACTCCAGTACGTCACTGTTATGCCAAAGCTAATGGATTAAAATGTTTTTATAACATGAATAAATACATCACAATCTTTTGAACGAGAACTAATAAAGTTACGAACACATTGCTCTCAATGATAAAGGAAAACACGAACGTAACAACAGGAAACATTTATTAAACATTTCGGAATCTTTAAAATGTATATCATACTTCTGTTGTAATTACAAATAGTGTTTGTTTGTTTTGTACCTATAGATTACTGATGATGGAAGAAAAAAAATGTAAACAATTTGAATATACAAAGTATAACAAGAGAAAATGAAAAAAATATAACACAAATGAAATAGTTAAATTAAAATAGATTCAGATCAAGTGTACAATGTGTATTATTTAGAGAACGAAGAAGAGTTTTTATGTATTATATTTCTTTTATTAGAAGTTCAGTATCTTATTTGGCTGTTGAGATAATTTTAAAGTTGGAAAAAGAAATCGGATGTCCTGTTTCTGTATTGTGCTGATAGATAGCGGAGTTTGGAGGGCTTGTAACCTTTCTTCCAGTTTTTTATAGATATGCCCATGTGTTCACATGCCCGTAGTTTAATGTGACGTTTGGCTTCATCAATATAGGAGGCCTTACAATCTCCGCACGTGAATAAATAGATGAGATGTGAACAACGGGCAGACGGCACACGACTTTTGTAATGGAAAAAATATTTAGTCTGAAATTGGGTTTCATAATAACTTTCAATTGACTTTACGGATAATAAAAGTTACATCATTTTTTAACTGATAAAGGAGCTCTGTCTTCCAAGAAATGGTAAGCAGATTTATAAAGGAAGTTTAGGTATCTTAGGTGGTTTGACAAACAAATTAGTTAAAAATGAGAAAGTTATTTTCTCCAAGAAATGCTGAGGGTAGCCGTTTCGAAAGAGAATGTTATATATTGGAAGAAATTTTCTTGTGAAGGACTAAATAGGATGAGGTTAGTTTGTAGGCGTTATTTAGTAGGCAGATAATAAGATTAAGTTTGAAAGAGAGGGGGGATATAAAACTGTCAAACTAAATGAAAAGGCCAGTAAATGTGTTTTTACGATATACAGACGTTGCAAAGCCGTTAGCATCATGGTTAAAAAGAACGTGCACAAAAGAAATAGAGTTACTCATCTCCATTTCATGTGTGAAGTGTATAGATGGGTGTTGTGTAACATTATACATAATAACTCTTCTTTCGTTGTCGTTGAGATCGCGAAAAAAAGAGTTAATAACAGAAAAGGCAACATTACCATCTCTACTACTCCTATATATTACTTTGATCTTTGTTTTAGGAACACAATACCATTATTTTAGATTTCTTTCTAAAACATCATCACTATCGTTGTTTCTTTATCTATACAGTATAGTCATCTTTGTTCTCCACTTATAGCATCACCATCTTTAATCTTTATTTTCCTTCCGTAGAGGTGTTGTAACTTCTTCAGTCCTTGGGTATGTTGTTATGGGTTATTTTGGAAAGAATAATTTTAAGTCCATTCCACGTAACGATAAGGTTGGTTATTTTTATTATCTTGTGCTTCTCTCTATTCACAGTTTTTGCATTCTCTATTAACACACATTTCCAAGGTTCCGTCCAAGCCGGTGAGCAATGTTAGTTAAGATATTTGAAGATTAATGAGCAATCTTGTTTCTTCATGATTGCTAGTTCCTTGAAAGCCTCAGCATGTTTTAAATGTCGAGGCTGCATCTCCAGTATCAATCTTATGAGATATTTTATTTGTTTGGCCTAACTCTAACTTCTGTTGCTAAATGTTTTTACTAACTCTGAACTTACTGAACTCAATCATCACTGATTACTCATATTTATATCGTGTTCTTGTTTTCAAGATACTCAGTGAAGATCTCAATTCTTAACTTTCACCAACTTCCTCGACCTTAACGTTATGAAATAAAATATAGTTTACAACAACATATTTGTTCAATAGTTTAATAATTAATAGTTTCTTTCGTGATTAGATATTCGTAAGAAGAAAAAACACGTTATGTCTGGTCCTAAACAGTGGAACGATATTAAACTTAAATTCCTATTTTCTCTGTTCTTTTCGAAAGGTTGAAAAGAATTGGTTTAAGTTCATTTAGTCTTTAGAACAACGGATGTATGATCTATAGAAAATACGGATCTAGTTTAGAAGACAGTGAACAAGTTAGTTCATGCATTTTTCAAACATCTATTAGTTTGAAATCAAGTTTTTGTTTGTTGCACCGCAGTCGCCTAACAAATATTAGTTTCATATTATCCACATTTGTTTTTTGTTTTTTTTGCATATGCACACGGTCACTAATATACAAATACTGCATAAACACGGGCGTATAGGATTATTTTACACCCACCCACACTACTGTTGTAAATGACTTAAAGAAACAGCCGCTACAACCAAGGTAAAATAAATAAATACGTGCCTCACCAGGACTAGATATTAACGTTAATGGGCAATACGTCATAAATATCAATGTCAATAAATAAAGGAGTGAGGAAAGAGAACCAGAAGAAGAAAAAACCTAATTCCGAAAAATACAAAACCTTGTGAACCTAAATAACTTAAGATCAATAACAATATCTAGTAACAATCAACAATCATTTGTTTTAACTATATCTCGTGAACTAACTTGATTAAGCATTATGCACGATTTTTATTTAGCGATTAGATCACGAAGTTACATCTCATGTAACTAGCTAACGTACATAACCTTTCATAACATTAATAGCTGTACGTGCACTCATGGGGGAAGCTCGTGTCTGTTTCATATTAGATATATACTGAAATTCAACTGCTCTAGCTAGAAGGTGAGTTAGCACTTTGAATATAACTAAAACTTCATAGTTGAAATAAACAAACATGAAACAAAACCATAACCAAACAAAAGTATAATTTGTTATCTCACATCATACATAAAGTACACAAACAGGGGCTTATAAAATTATGTTTATATACACGGACACTAAGATACATAAACTACATGAAAAGCAACGACATATCTTTTTTACTGGACTTCAGTAAAAATGTGTCCTTCTCTTCCAATTAAATTTCAAATGGTGTCTCTATGTTAATATAAATATTACTGTGACTAGTTATTTACAGGTGTATTGTTATTGTATATTATAACAGTTTACTTCCATGAATTTGTTTTTATCAGTTATTATTATTAAATACATATATAAGTGTACATCTTACCTGAAAATACAAGAACCAATAATCATGCTCCAGCGACGTCCAATAAGACACCTAGTTTTGCCTCCAAAATAAAGCAGTGAACATGTAGAGATAAATGCATAGAAAATCCAGCTAGTTTCTTCATATGTTGTGTCCTTCTTGACTCTTTGTTTCAGGTAAGAAGTTAAGTAAGGAGTTAGGTTTCCAAACGTTAGTATTGTACCTATTGCTAGGTAAATCAGGAAACATCCACCAACTGATACCAAGGGTCGAACGTCCATTTGCTAATATTATATACGAATCATGCTGGTACTTTATAGTTTTAACATACGTATAAAATCAGTAATACATATGATAATCTAGATTATAGATAACTTACCTACTCAAACATAGAATTGTATCAGTAAAATGTGTATCTAGTATTCAGTGTTAACTGCTCTGCCATTATTTTGCAACAATTCTTCAGTGTTATAGAATTATAAGTGTGAAAGGAAGAGTAAAGATTACGTCAAAATATTGTTTTTCCAGCATCATTCAGTTTCAAGCGAATTTTGTTTCAGTTAAATAACATAGGAAATATATGATTTTTTCATTATATAATTTAGTCCTTGATAGATTGTACACAGGGTTAATTTCACTTTGTAAGATCGTTTTGCTTATGCTATTGTTGTGTAGTGCCACCACGTGTGCGAACTGTACCAAACAGGCATATATTTACCATGATTGTTAAAGGCTGTAGAATCACATGACACCATTTCAAATAATATAGCCTTTAATGTTCCCCATGGAAGTGTAAAATATTATATAGTAACTCACTGAGGATCTAAAATGATCCAGAATAAACTCCCAACACTAGCGTACACGTCAGTAGAGGGTCTGAGGATAGTTAGGTCAAGATAAGTTCAAACATAACATAACATAGTAGGAAGCGAATCAATACATCACATATCTGGCTCTTTGAGTATGTGTAGATATTTATTGAGTCAAAAACTTAGCATGGACAGAAAACCTGCATCAGACATGAAAATGGTGTACTGTTCTTACGAAGAACTTTGGCTATAGAATTAAACATATTTTCCTCTCTAAAGTTTGTTTAAAGTGAAATTTAGAGTTTATAGGGAAAATGAAAGATAGAATTTTGTAATTATTTCAAAAAATATACAATATAATAGCACTAGATTGGATCAGGAGCTTTCTTAAGCTTGGTAGAATACTGGGTTTGATTTGAATAAACTACAAGATATAATAAAATGGAACGTGTGAATCTAAAAGTAAGTTAAAAGCTGAAATTTTATACAACCTAACAAAAGTAACAAGTTATCTAAACAACAACCCGTTTATCATATAAAGAAAGATAATTCTTGTTCAACTGATAAACAATGAACACCAAATAGTAAAGTGGTACCTAACAAAAGTTTAATAAATATATATTAAATTATTGTAAACAATAGATATTTATTAACTTTGTGTAATTAGTAAAGTAGAAATGATTATCAAACTAGTACAAAGTGTAAAATTAATAGTAAAGTTTGAATTGTTACTGTTCTGAATTACTTTCATCACTATAAAAAAGACAAAAAATATCTACTTACAGAGACCGGTACTATTTTTTCTTTTTAATTTTAATAAATAAACTTTAATAGTCACCGAACATAACACACCAAAACTAAGAAACAGTGTTAGTTCACTAAGATGGCAAAAACTTTTACTCAAATTATATTTATTCTTATATGACAATATGTTCAAATTGTGCGCATGCTCACTATTTAATAAGTTTAGATGTATAAGTATACAAATGTATAACTTGTGTTTCACAGATGGGTTTTAATGTACGTGTTACCTATATTGTACTTTTACTTTTTTATGCAAGTCCTGCTATATCCCGCTACATATTACAACACAAACAAAACAGACACACGTAACCATTTTTCAAGACAACAGTGACTTGAACAAATATTAAACAATATACAAAACGGACGGTGGTGGTAATGTATAAAAGTGATTATAATATTCCTTTTCTGTAAATGTTACATCAAACATAAAAGATAACTTAGCCTGTTTCAGCTGAGTTTTTCTACATTGTTATCCATTAGTGTTGTGTAACTTAACTGAATTAGGGATCAAAGTATGCTAGTACGCAACTCTAGATAGATAGAGAAGTGTAAAAACGTAACGGTCAACTACACACTTGTTTCTTTTTATATGTGTTGAACAAATACGAAATTACTTTTCTATCATGTATAGGACAATAATTCACATTAGCTATATGTTAAAGTGGGTGTGCTGGTGTCTCAGCGGCAGGTTTCAATGCTTATAACAATTAATTTCGGGACCTGATAATGATGGTGATCATAACACAGACGGCCCGGCATGGCCAGGTGGTTAGGGCGCTCGATTCGCAATCTGCGGGTCGGGGGTTCGTATCCCTGTACCACCAATGAGTGCTTCCCCCATTAACGTGTTCTAATTAAAGCTCAAGTTAGATGATTGAATGTTGTTGTTTTTCTGATTGTTTAAAATTATAACAAATAATACATTTTAGATTTACAGTTCTAAATATCCCTTTAAATAATTTATTTATAGTTAAGTATTCTTCGATGTCTAACTAAACACTCTCGACCATAAGAAGTTCTGGGCCTGAAGTAGTTTGTAAACTAATATGATAAATAGTCCTTTAAGAGTTTTCTTGTTAGTGGGGGTTCAAGGTTGGAATTTCCCTCAATAAGTTATTCTAATTAAAGCTCAAGTTAGATGATTGAATGTTGTTGTTTTTCTGATTGTTTAAAATTATAACAAATAATACATTTTAGATTTACAGTTCTAAATATCCCTTTAAATAATTTATTTATAGTTAAGTATTCTTCGATGCCTAACTAA